AAAAGTATGCAAAGTACATCAGAGAGGGGCGGAAGGGGGTGGAGGAGGTGTGCCCGGGAAAAGCATCTGGAAAATTTGTTCACATGACGCACACAGCAGCTGCTGCCACTGCGAACTGTATGATTTTCCTTCGCTTTGCCCATTTTCATTTTTGGTATTTTTGCGCTTTTGTTTACATTTAGATTCAGCTATTTTGAGAAGCCATAAACAAAACAAAGAGAAACGTGCAGAAGCCGAGGCAAAGGAAAAACTAAGAGGAGGAAATCGGAGCTGGGAAAAAGTCCAAAGTCGGAGGGCATATAGCCAATATATATATATGTATATATACATATATAGCCAACGTTCGCTACGGGAAACCTAATGAGCTGTGCAGCTTTTGAAGTTGCCTCATTACGATGATCGAATTGAATGGAATCGAAAATCGATCGATAGTCAAATGGAAGACCCACAATTAAGGCAGGCAGCCATAGATAAGACCTGGCCCCCGCCCGGGGGATGGACACGCTCGAGGGTGTGCGTTAATCACGCAAGTAATTCTAATGCCCGAACCCGCCCCGACGCCCTCTCCACCGACTTGGCCTGCGGCGATAAGTTTTCCACTCTGGGGGTGAGTTTTTCGCCGATGGAACAAAGCATAATCAGCGCTGAACATGCCAAGCACAACAGAAGAAGGGAAAAGCGTTGGAGAGCTTGCTAAGACAGAACCTGACTCCCCTGTTAACAAAGCTATAAAACTGTCACCTATAATAATCGAGAAGCTCAAATTAAAGCCCGGAGCAAGACCGAGTCGCGTGCCCTTCGACATAACATACATAATAAGAAATTCAAATCATTTCCCCATGCCAAGCATAAAGGAATCGGAAAGCATTACAAGTTGCTGAATAGAGTCACTCTAAAACTAAATGAGTGAAGTGAATAAACCCTAGACGAAAGGTTGCACTCCTTTTAACTGACTTACCATTAGTCATTAGGAGGATGTTTGGAGAATACATTTGTAGAAATATATCTTATTTTTTCTACGTTACAGAGACGTTCCCTAACTGTTTTTATTTCTATAAGTATTTTGTATTAAAAATAATGCCCCTGAAGTGTCGGAAAATATATAAATTAACCATATATTATTCAAAGGTAGTACAATCTACTATTTTGAACGATATTTGATCAACAACCTATTATTATTCACATGAATTTTATTCTTAAACTGATTCTTGATACTCTTATAAAGACATTTAACTACTTATCCTTTAGTCATAACAGTAACTTTCATTATTCGCAGATGTACCTGTTCACATACTAAACACATTTATTTTTGGTAAAAGTAAATGTTGACTCCAAAGGATTATTTTTGGGACATGGGATGACTAATCAATTAGGCTAAGGAACATTTTCGTTGGGCAAACACATTTTCGGTAGCCGTTTCGGTTAGTATTTATGTTTATTAGGCTGGACAATTTGCCGACTTAAGCAATTACCAGCAAGCCAACAAAGGGCGTTGGCGCTTTTCAATATTTATACGCCTGTCACCCACTCCCGCAGGCCCTCTAATGGTATGTAAATGCTTGACGGCTTACAAAATGCCGGGCCAGGAGGCATAACAAAGGCGGCGCGGCGACCACAACCCGTTATTATTATTGTTGCATACGTCAAGGCGTCCTGGCCCTGCGGTCTGTCTTGTTTCCCTTCGCTTTTTTGCTCCTTTCCGCTTTGTTTTCCCAAGTAATTTGCAACGGCAAGTAATTTAATAGCGCTGCATGTGTGTGTGTGCCTCGACGGGCTGTTGAATGCGCCCCCAGGTGGGCGCAAGGTGTGCTGTAAGTGGGCGGGGGAGTGGCCGTCAAAAGGTAAATTATGCCGGCGGATGACAAGCGGACTCCTTCGAACGAACGCTCACTCGGGTGTCCTCTGGCCACATTCAAGATTATTGGTTTCAAGGGTGAAATTATGAAATGAAGTGGAAAATGAAGTGTGTGATTGTGCCAAGTGGCAAGTGCGGATGAAAGTGCCGCCAAAGGAGAAGGCGATTAGGTGAGGAGCATTAAGGGTTAAAATATTGAAAGGTGACAAAGGATTCTAGTGCGGAAGGGGTTGTAACTGAAATTGGAAATAATCGAAAGAAAGGCAACACGATATTAAGACTTTAATTGCATAACATTTGTTGGCTTTATTATAAGAGGACTTTTCTCGTTTATTTCTCACCCATTAAAACCAATTAGGAGTCACAATCAGTCTACCAAATCTTCAAGGACTTAAGACCTGTGAAAGGGTATAACATTTAAGCAGAGACAATTCGTGTCTCTAAGTCATGGCCCGCAATGCAATCGGCAAAGGCGAAAGGAAAGGAAATGAAAGAAGAGAAAAGGACCCCAGAAGAACTGTGTCAACGACTTTGCTCCACTTAACCATTTAACGAGCAAGTTAGCTAACACGTAATGCCAACAACAACAACTGAACAGCAACAAAAGGATGTGGAAAAATTCAAAACAAGTGGCACAGCACAAAATATTGAACAACAATAGGACGAGCGAGGGAGAGGCTAGATAGGGCGACAGAGAACGCGTGTGTCATCATTAGAATAAGAGGAGAGAGAGAGAGTGAACATCCCCCCGAGCCAAGGATGAATGTAAAAGCAGACACAAGAATAAGTAGGAAACGGGTGGATGCGGGGAAGGATTGGGGAGGATAGGAGGATTGGAGGATTGAACGGGAGGACGGACGCACGCACAAAGCACAACAAAGAACGCCGGCGACGTCATCCAACGCAGCGAGCAGCGAACAGCACGCACCACCCTCGTCCTGCCCCCTGCCGCACGACACCCCTCAGAGCTCGTCCTGTGCAACCCCCATCTATGCCAGATCCTAGACAGCCACCACCATAAAAGTGAAATACACAATGAAATTTACGCAATATCCCAAAGTAACAGACTTTTCTGCGTTGGCGTTGTAATAAAATCAAAAAAATACAGAATAAGAGAAAAGAGGGTGACAAGCGGACGACAACAACAGCAACTGGAGCAACATCAACAACAGCATGTGGGGCACACACACACACACACACGACACACACACACAACGCACACTGATAAAGCAGTCAGCTGAAAGTGAAACAGATAGATAGGGGAGCGGGAGTGAGACAGACGTTGTTATTCAACGCAACAGAAATAAATGTAAGTCCGATTAGAATTTAATTTTTTTTGTGCCGAAAATTCCACAAAGCTGGTTGACAATTTGGCAGAATCAAGAGACTAAAGAGCAAGTGTATGAAAAAGTAGATAGATAAATCAATATGTAGGATGAGATACTACCATATGGAACTGAGAAATATCAGGGGAAAGAGAAATAACTCAAAAAAGGTATATTGATGAATCTGAATTATAACTAAAGTAAGCTTGTGTAAAGTTTTAAGTTTCGGATAAATGACAACATTAAAATATAGTACTTTCGGTCTCTCTATAGAACAGTTTTCCTTTAATTTCAGGACTAAATAAAAGAGTGCCTCAAGCTCTGAGGTCAAACGAAATTTTTAACGTCTCTTTCTGGAATTATTTATTTTTCAACAATAACTTGTAAATGCAAATAAATAATTTTAAAGGACATCGAATTCACGTAGTTGTTTTAATACTAATTGTTAACAAATAATTTAAGTTAAAAATGGAATATAAACTGAGGAACTTGAATCATGTCTTGTACAATTGTTAAAATATATTCCCTATAGGATTCCTAAAGTAACAAAATATTCAGATACATTGATAATTGTTAAAATTTGAATAACACTTTAAAATAACTTTAAAACGTTAATTGTTAGCCCCGACTTTTCAAGATAACTTGATAATTTGTTTAATGTAATAAGGACAAAAAAATATATATATTTTTGTATTGTTATTTTTAATTCAATTTTTTTTATCAACGAAGTAGTTTAATTTTTTGGATTGCAATATTATGGTAACTAACTGCAGATCCTAGCACCTGTTCAGGTTTATTAAATCTGTTTACTTTTTTCCACTTTAAGAATTTTAGTGGTAACTATTTTTCCAGTAAGTTAATCACAATAGTATTTTAGTAGTCTTCAATATGTTTCAAAAACTAAACTTTACTTAAATCAAATAAATAAGTAAATGAAAACGGACGTTGCCGTAGTTTGCATTTTAAAAGAGCTCATTTTAAAACCTTTACAGAGACCATATTAATAAAACACGAAGCACAGATTTCACTCTTAAAAATGTTTTAAATTTATGACTTTTTGTAAAGGTTTATATTTTTCTGCTAGACAATAATTTCGTTTTTAACCCGATAAATGAAATTAAGTTCCGATTTGTAATATGTATAAATGTAACATTTTTGGAACTTTGAAAAATATTTGTTACTTTAAAGAGATTAAGCTCCATATCTCGTGATTTCTAGAAGTTTACCCCAAATACATTTTCTTTCCATGCTTCGTTTAATCTTTCATCGAAACGTAGTCTACTTTTGGGCATTCTGAAGCTGCTCGGTCCAAAGGAAGAGGAGCACTTTAAGCCGAAGCCAATGCTCTCGTAACAAGGACATCGCCCAGAAACGGATAACTTAGCCATTGTGTGAAGCTGGTGGCGGTGCGTTAATGGCCGAGCGAGGCAGACAGTGAAGCCGAGAGTCACATTGACCTACACACAGACGCACTGATTTCGAAATCCCACAAAAAATGTAGCCGCAGACACGCATACACACATACACGGGAAGGACACCCAGACGCAGCGAATGATTAATTGTCAAAATATGTTGAACAAAGCCAAGGGCGCAAAAAAAAAACAAAGAGGAGCTGGGGGAAAAAGCGCCACAACAACATAATAAAAAGTGCGTTAGTGAGCGTGTGACAATGTGTGCGGCGATGAATGCATATGTATTTGTATTAAGTTGTCATTACGTGACTACGGACAACAAGATTTATTATCATTCGTTCCCCAACTGCAACCACCACCCCCACCCCGAAAAGAAAATTCATTTGGGCCCCGATTTTTGATACTCACAGTAACTTGTTGAGCAAACTCAACCTTCGGCTGGCCGACCAGTTCGATAATATGAACCATATGGAACGATTTGCTCTTGGACGTGGCGCCTTTGCGAGAAAAAATTGTTAACGATTTGCACCGATTCCCTGGACGCTTTTGGTTTACTTTCTCTCAAAATGGCTGTTGCTCGAGTTTTTCTCGTCGTTACTTTTTTTAGCACTTTTAAGTTCAACAGTTTCTGATTTGTTTCTGATTTTCACTTGAATTGTTTGTCTGTTACTTATTGTTGATTTGACTGTATTTGATTTTCTGCGTTACTCTTGTGTGGTTAGCCCGCTATTAATGTATATACGCGGCTGGGTTTAGTGCTTATAGTATTTATCTTATCTGTATTTTCCAGTATTTAAGCACACACGCATGTACTCCCTATGTATATATATATATCTATCTCTCTTTTCACTCTCAATGTGATCTCTTCTGCTCGTTTCTAAAATCGAATTAAAATTTGTGTGTTGGAGAATATTATTCGTGTTCTCTGTAAGCATGGGTAATTGGTAATTGCGAGAGATATTCCAGGTACAGTTTGACTGTGAATTTAATCGCTTGGAAATTAGGTGAGAGCGGAAATAAAAATGAAATCTCTTGCGATAAATATTTATTTCGAATATCTATTGTTCTTGGCCAGGAAAATGCTCTTGCCAATAATTTCAAATTCGAATAAATCGAGAAGAAACAACTGACAAATTTAATTTCTTTCAGGAATTTTTAAAGAATTAAAAGTTGTTCAACACAGTGCACTAAAATTTGTTAATGGACACTTCACAGGTAATCGAATTTTAAACACTTTAAATAAAATGTTGAAAAAATACTATATATGTTTTTTACTGATAAATAAATAATACACTTTGCAATATCTTGACGAGTTCAGCACCACAACTCGAATTCAGAATTATAAGAAAGTAACAAATTAGTGAAACGATTTACGACTGATTTAACACTCATTGCAAATCGAAATGGTTCAGAAAATGATTTCCGTTCAACACGGGCCACATCAAAGCGGCCGTAAAATAATTTAGCAACTGCACACTATATACTCAAATATATAAAACCCAGGCCAAAGAAAGGAAAATCATGCTCTGCTGGCCAAAATCATTAGGAGCAATGCATATTCAATTAACATGGCCAAATATATTGGCAGCTCACACTGGCACAACCAAATACAAAATACAAAATACAGCAAAGCACAACAGATTTTGGGGAAAATGTTTCAATGGGATCTCGGCTCGGTCCAGTGCTGGCTGGAGAGCCATGGAATGCCATGGAGATGAAAATGAAATTATGGAATGCTCAAAATATTCAAATTCAGTGCGAGAAACAGAAACTGTTTTCCGTGCTCCGCTCTGCTTTGGGTTGCTTTCCCGTTCGGTTGGCTTTTCGGTCCAAAAATTTAATTGAAAATGTTTTCGTGTGCTGCGAGCGTGAATCAATTTTCGTTTGTTTGTTTATCTGGGCAAATTGAAAAAAATACAACAAGAATAAAACGAAGCGTGGAAATAAATATATCCAGAAAGTAAGGCCCAGACAATGGGAGCAAAGAACCTGATCGCCAGTTGGGTTTCCCTCTACGCGTAGTGCTAGCTAGTTCTACTTGGAATCATTGTTTACGAATTGTTTCTAATTATTTTTGGGTTTTGTTTATCGTGGCAGTAGCGGCAGCTATTTCTGGAGCTAATGTTAATGATGCCGATGAAGAGATTGAACAGAAAGCGAGTTCTCATGAGTCAGGTGCTTGCTGGTGGTGCTGGTAAGATGGATGCGTGATATTGCGGAATCTACTCGAAATATTTTACTGCATATTTTCGGGATATATTTTTTGTTTTTGTAGTAATTGCCCTTGCTTACAGGTTTAACAGTTAAATACTCGAATATGTGGCTTGTTCGTGTTTTGGAATCGAGTCAACGAATTTTTCAAATATGTTTGCGATTTTGTGGCGAATTGATTTGATTAAGTTGTTGTTATATTATAATATATTATTGAAGCGAATTGAAATTTTAATTTTTTTTTAGATGGTTTTGGTTTTTGTTGCTTGTTTTTTTATGAATATTCGTAATTTGTATTATCGATGTGTTTTAATATGCGTTTCTGAATTAGAGAACAAATGTCACACGACAGTCGACGAGAACTATACGAAATATTCCGACTTAACTACACAGAACTCAATATCATACTGCTGTCGTGCATAGTCGTGTTGCCTGCTTAAATTTTCGAAAAATTTCGTAAATAACGAGAATTTGCTCGCCAGTTGCGACTCGGGTGAAAGCCGAAAGTGCTTCGGGCTCGCTGGAGGAAAATCCTCCCTCGCAATGCTCTTACTCTCTTAGAGTCGCTCTTTACCCGCTCGCCCGAGCAGCAGCAGGAACACGAGCACGACCGAACTTGGACGCATCCGACCAATTCGAGCCAGCGTACAGTGATACCAAAAATATGCACCTCAAATTGGACAACAATACAATTGGAAATGTGTAAGCAAACTTTAAATAGGGAAATGCATAATGATTACTACAAGTACACTTTAATTGGAAAAGTGTAAGTAAACTATAATAAGGAAAATATTATGATTACTTCAAGTATTTAAATTAAATAATTTCAGAAATTATTTTAGAGAATTTCAGAAAAATTTGTTGGTATTTTCACAAAGTTTACCCCATATAAACAAATACAATACTATTGAAGAATATCTTAAATTATAAAAATGTAATCTAAATAATTTACATATCCAATAAATTTAAGGCACCTGAAATTTTTTATTTTAAAAGATTACCTAGCATGTAATAATACAATTAATGTAGGGGAAACTGAAGTTCATCGTCCTGACATCTAAGTTAAAATAGCTATGAATCTGTTTTTGTTGCGTGACAACATTTAACCGATGCTCACTGTACAACGAACGCAACAGTCCAACACGCCGGCACAGAACGGGTGATGGTAAACAACAACACACACGCACACACGTTCGAATGGTCGGTTGGGGGTGTCCTGCTACTGCTCCCTGCTCCTTGGCCCGAGCCGTTCGGCTGCGGTCGGAAGCCCAGCACGAACGTTGGCTCGAGCGCGTCGAACGCGCGTGTTCGAAGTTGACGTCGAACCAGAACCAGCCGCCGAAGGAGCCGACGGTGCGTATGCGTACGCAGCATTAAGGAATCCAAGATCCTGGACTGAACATATGGGGTGCCGATAATGGCTTGTTGCTCCTCAAAAAAAAGCAGCAGCTCCGCTAGAAATTGTAGACTTAAGATGGCAGATCTACGCCATCCACCCTCAACCATCCCACCTTCGCAGGACCCAATCGTAGTGGTCCCGACTTGCCCGTGGAGCACACCAAAAACAACGAAGGCGAAAGAGGTGGCCAAATCACGCCGAGCGGCGGCTCTGTCAGGCAGGCTGGAAATGGAAACCCCAGCAAGGCCTAAAGGGAAAAGCTCGTGACTCGTGCTGCCGAAGCACGCGCAGCCTTTCTCTCGTTCGCGCCCTCTCGCTCGCGTTCTCCGGCTGGGGGTGCGAGCGAGACGGCTAGCGGTTAGTTTTCCGCCCTAGCTATGTAAGGTGTCTTGTGTAGTGGAGCGGAGTGCATCTGAGTGGGAGAGCGCGAGAGCAGAGCGCGTGGCTGCCATGTGCCGGGCTTGACTGGCTGGCTGCTGCCCTTCTGGAGCTAGGTGGTGCGGGGGGTGGCGGTGATGGAGATGGCGTGAGAACGAGAGCGTGGAGTGGAATAGGTTGGGTGGGTGTGGGTCGAGCACCGCTAACATGTGCGTTTCGCTCTTGTTTTTGCTCTGTTTTTCGCTCTGCTCTGTTTTGACTGGAAGTGCTCATCACTGCGATGATAATTTTCTGTTGAATATTTATGAAACACATGACTCACAATGTGATTAAGGCTTTCCCACTCACCTTGTTGTTAGTGCTATTGTTGTTGCTGGTCCCAAAAGGCAAACACAGAACGTGGCTGGAAGGCTACACCAATAAGAGCAACGAAGAGAGTCCCTCTGGTGTAAGAGAGTCGTCTGAAGAGCGAGTGTACAAACACACAAACACACACACACGCACGGTAGCTCACCCACACTCGCACGCCATTCACCGAATTGCTGGGAAATTCATCATCATGAGCTTGATGTTGATGACGACGCACGAAGACAGGAAGAAATTAATATGCGAAACGCAACAATTTTTGCCAACTACAGCGGCAACACAACAACACCAACAACAACACCAACAACAACACCAACAACAAGAACAGCACAACGGCAGATGGAGAAACACTTTTTGCGCTTTCCCCAAAGCCGGCAAAAATAACAACAAAACGGCAACCGGGAAAACATCTGCGAGGCATTGAATAATGCCAGCGAAGTTTGGGGTGCGGCTTGTTGTGCTTTTATTCCCGGGTTTTCCCCTAATGGTTGAGGCACAGTTTTGCACTATTCTCATATATAAAGGTATTTATATATTCTTCCAACTGTAGAATCACCAGCGATTCGGAGAGATAAATACTAAGGAACCTGAACGATACAATGGTATATATGAGAGCTATTATTAACCTGTTATCTGTTTGAATCCTTACTATATGCTGGTAATGTAATAATGGAACTACTCTCATTAGTTCTTATTTATCAGCAGTTTAATTATAACGAGAGGTTAGTGATCATTTGACCTTCGATTAAAATATAAAGTTAATGTTAAAGATCAACTGCCAACTGACACTTGTTAAATAACTCTGATGTAGCGAAACCTGTTAACTTCCCCCTTTTCCTCTGACATTGTTAAATGAGTCCGTTACCATTCCTCCAACAGTTAACCAAAATATGATCCAAGCCTGAGGGGGGAGGTCAATTCTCATAATTTGACGTTTGTTAAATCTGACGATTGCTAAAGTTGAATTGTTTTAATGACTAGTTTAACTGGTAGTTACTGTAGGCCAACTTGACATTAACTAGACCTTAAGAAACCGACTCTATGACTTTGTCTTTTGATTTCTAGATTTGATACCATATTATATTTGAAATAATGTTTTTAAGGAGGTTTTCGGATTGCATGATCAAAGTATAATGATCTTGTAACCTACCGATAAATGGCTTAATTGACTTGACTCTACCATGCTTGACTCGCTTTATCCGATAGCTAATATGCCGAAATCCATCTGTTTGTAAGCTCAATTCAGTCGAGCTCAGTTCGGTTGAGTTCAGTCAGTCATTGAATCAAGCTGCTAACAATCTCCGCCCTTGACAGAGTCGGAAACCTAACAACCTGCCAAAGCAGCAATGAATGTCGTCTACTCAGTTGCCTGTCCATCTGGCCCTGTCTCTGCCAGCCCACCTCCCCCCCACCACACCACGGGCCAGCTCCCTCCCCCTCAGCATTCAGGCGTTATTATTGTAGCTAGCGCTTTTCCTTTTACCCTGATATTTTCGCTACGCGCTTTCCTCTCGCTTCCTTGTGCGTGGGTGTCTCTTTCCATCTCTCGCTGTGTTTGTGTGTCACTAGGATACGCAAAAGCATCATGTACCACCAGAGCAGAGCAGGAGCAGGAGCAGCATCCCCGCAACCGTTGCGTTGTCCTGAACTTGGAGTTTTTCAATTTGATATGCTCGACCGATTTTCGCTCATTTCAAGCGCGGCACAGCGTTGTCAGCATCGCCAGCCGCCAGCCGCCATCGTTGCTGTTATTGTTTCTCTGCGTTGCGCTTGTCGTCGCCAATTTATCGCATTTTTACTTTGATTTTGCGTTAATTTTCGGACAGCAACAGACGCTCCTCCCGCTCCACTGCCCCACGAACTCATCGTCCCACTCGTCCCACCGTTTTTCCGCTTTCCCGCTCGGGAGGCTCTTGTGCGACCGAGTTTGTTGTGTATTTAGCGCTAAATGGTCTGTTGATATTTCTCTTTTTTTTCACGCTCTCCTGTGCCGCAAGCCTAAGAGTCCGCCTTGGGGGCAGTCAAGTGTTAAGGCACATAATCAATGTCAAGATGGCGACGATGATATGAAATCAATTTTACACGCATAGGAAGTTAGTTGATGGAATGCTCTGTTCAATTCCGAGAGCAAAACTCGGTGATTTCCCAGCTAGCTATGAGTAGTAACAAAAGGATATGCGGTGAATCCATCAATTTCAAACGTGCAACTGTGTGTAGCCAATTCAGTCCTTCAGTTTATCCATCAGACATCCATAGGCTTATGGCAGAAGTGTTATTAGATCCAAATTCTATAAGGTTTTCCATGGCAAAATTGAATATAGATTGAATTTTATTAAGAAATGGATCAAAGATTTGGTAAGGGGCTTCCCTTTGAACTAATTTGTACTAACTCAAACCAGATATAAACCAAGGAATGTATTCACAAAACCATTTTGAAGAAGGTACCTCCTTCGTTTGTTAATAAAATATTTCTTTAACGTTACACCCAAGAGGGTTTCGCCTTTTTGGCGGAAGACGGAAGCCACTGCTTTTAACGTATATTAAGCCAGTTATGTGCAGGAACTTGGCTGAATGACATTATTAAATCCTGGATCGGCCATAAATTCAATAAAACGAAAAATCACCAATGATTCGGCTGCCATTTATGCAGTTCGACATTATCAGACACTTCCTCGCCCACGCCCACGCCCAGCACAACCACACACCTCTTCCTCCTCCTTCGCCGACTCAATGTCATTTCGATTTTACATCTTCGATATACGTATTACGTACAACAAGTCGTTAGGCCGTGCCGGGCTGGGCACTCTGCTCCAGAGCTATTGCCTTTATGCATCAACGAGCACATAAAAGCGCAGGAGGACCGGGCTGCCCCTCTACCACATGGTCGATATTTATGCGAAAATCAAGTGATAAATCTAAATTATATGCCAGTGTTAAGGCCGGAGGAGCAGCGGCTGAAGAAGGCCATGACGGGGCAGCCTTGGCTCCTGATCCCGGCGCCACCTTCTCCGCCCCCGTCCTTGTCCTTGTCCTTGCCCCCGAAATGTACTGGAACGCAAGGCGTATTGTTATGATGATTAGG